CCTATCTAATCTAATCTAATCTAATCTAATCTAATCTAATCTAATCTAATCTAATCTAATCTAATCTAATCTAATCTAATCTAATCTAAAACTTTTGTACTTATCTCTAAATCTTTTTCCAGTATATATACTGTTATGTAGTGGTAAATTATTGACAGCTTCCTCTCTCCAGTTTTTAAATCATCAGACTATACATCTGCTTTATCAGGACAATAGGAGATGAAGCATTTATTTAAATGTACAACAGCCAATAGAACAGCTGGAAATCAAACAATGCCAGCTGTCTTTAAGTCCAATACTAGTCCTTAAAACTAGATATTCTGCAAAAACCTGTTGTTTTTTTCTCAAAGCACATAAATATCTTTGCATGTATTTGAAATATGTTATTATATCCAACCACCGAGCTCAGTGGAAAACAAAGATCTTAAAGGTCAGAGGATTAAAATACATATACATGCCTCATGTTTGTCCGCTCCAGATCTGCTTAATTTTGACCGCTCTAAAAGTCACATTAGCATGAGGTACCCATATTTATACAATGCAGGTCCTTCTGGCTCTAATTGATTTAAAAATGTTATTTTTTTTAAGTCTATAAAACAAAGGAGACATGACTTTTTTTCTTTTGAGAGAAAAACTGTTGCATAGAAGAAGAAAAGGCAAAAACAGGAAGCATGAGATGCTTCAATGAAGCACGGCAAACAGATTGATGTCTAAATCCTAAAACAGAATTATAGAGTTAGCTACTTTTATTTTGTTGTTCATAAAGGGAGGCTTTTTTTGTTTATATGAGGAAGTCTGAGTTTTCTTTATTGGCTCCTCTTTTAAAAGCTCCTACAGTAGCTTGACCCCTGATAGAGAAAATCCTTCTGATTAATTTCAAAAATCTGTAACTGTCCCTGAAACATGATGCAAACACTTTGAGAAATTGTCTGACACTTGTTGGGTGTCAGCGTCTCTGGTTAATATTTAGAATGCATGTTAGCGTGTTTGTAGTGGGGTTGGGGTACAAGCAGAGATCAAGAGGGAAACTCGACCTTCTGACTGGTCTGTCTCTACAGAATGTCAGTTCTGACAACATTTTTCTTGACGCGGGCATATCTACACATAAAATTGACCAGCGCACACAAACACGCACCCTGGAGAAGCTCAGCAGCTCTCTAACTTGTAGTTGGCATCCTATCAGAGCAGTACTGACAGCGCATACGCATCACTGCCCCACCAAAGCTAATTATCAGTATGGACAGAGTTGGCGTCTGCCACTGATTTTTTATTTTTGTGTGTCTGCTGGTGACTCTAAATGAGTCAGTCTGCTCACTGTATGGTTTCACAATTCATCTCTCTACAAACCAAAGACAATTTATTTACATCTTTTTAAAGGAAAACTTTAGATTAAGAATTGGTAATAAAATAAAGAAATAAAATTAAATGCAAATGCCGTTTCATGTTTTTGTTGTCAAATCTGACAATAAATTATTTAAAAACATTTATAGATGTAAGGTCTTTAATGTAGTCATAATGGTGTGAAAATCTTTAATGTTTCTACAGATGGAATTGGACATTGTGATCACAAGTTTAAACTGCAATTTGTGCATCTTAAGTACTCAAAGAAAACAGCTTAGAAAATAGTGTTTATTGTTATTGTCTTTGCCACTATCCCTAAAATCAGACTCCATTTCCCTCCGAATGTTTGGAAATTCTTCAAATTAATTTGCATTTTGTTTAGTTAGAAAAAAAGATAAAAAAATTTGAAATGGCCGAAACAACTTAGATCTTGCCATATAGGATCATTTTTTCTTGTTGACATTGTTTAAGGGTTTTGCTCTTGCTTGCTAGTTTAGTCTTTTTTTTTGTTTCTTTTGTGTCTGGTATGATTTGTTAGATTTTCCAGCAGTTTTCCTCTACTTCTCTTAAAATGTTCCTTTTTTTAAATCAGTTTAACCTCATTCAGATGCTGTCATTCTGGTTTGCCTCTAGTCTTCCAGGTCAATTCACCTGCGTTCAGCCTTTGTTGAACTCATGCCCCACTATTCAGTTTTCTTTCACAGGTGAAACTGGTTCCCTGCCTCTGTAACGCTCATACATCTCAGATTGCCATCCCAATTTTCAGATCACCTCTATTTTCTTCTAAGGGGTCATTCTAAATGTTCCTCATTCTAAAAAGTGTACATAACAATCAGGGCATGAGTTAAACTGGTATTTTATAAATGAAGATCTTTTAGCTCATATTATAACACATTTTATCATTATTGTGCTTTAAAACTGATGTTCATACAGTTGTTTTATGATTTTATATTTTATTTATTGTTTGATTTATTTTAAATAGGTCTTAAGAAAGTGGGATTGAAAGTAAGCAATTTTACGGAACAATAGTCACTAATGTTCATATGTTCTTAGTTATAAAAGAGGGATGAAGGGAAAACAATCTACAATGAGGATAGTGAACAATCATTTCACCACTCTGGTTCACTTATAGACTCTCTTTACTCCCTGATATTTATTTCCATGATATTCTGTTGATAATTGAATGTAAAATATTTAGTAATGCATGTACTGTGTACTTGCTTATAACAAAGAAGCAAAAAACATTTTACATCTTTTATTCCAAAACACAGCACTATAGGCTATGAAAACACGTCATTAGATACACTAGTTTTTAAATGACACTTAATATTCCAATAATATCCATCACGTCCTTATTGTCCATTTAAAAAGGTTTTCTGAAATATCAAAAAAAAAATGGTATGGTAAAATATTAAATTATGTAATGGTCCTTTTATATCTATGTATAAAATAATCAATAATAAATTAAACTGTGATTTCAGTAATCAAAGTGTATGATACTTCTAACTTGCTGGTCTCACCTGTAAGTTTCCACAGAAGTGTAGGAGGCTGGGGTCAGCATTAATCTGGTTGTCTATGGTGTTGGGGTTGCGTTCACGGTTCTTTTGGTAGGGTGTAGTGATGGAGGTGGTGGTCTGGAGGGGGGATATCGGCGGCCTCATCCCAATGTCTGTTCCGTTCCCAAAGGCTTGGATGGCATTCCCTATGAAGGAAAAGAAAAGCATGATGACCTGCAGTTAGAAGCCTCTTCTCACTTTAGGTGAGTCAGTGTTAGAGAAGCTGAGCCGGTAAAGTAGAAGTCCACCACATCAGGATTTAAAATGTGTCAGTTTAGCACCCACCTGAGTCATATCATCAATCCCAAGCTTGTTATCCCCAATGTTACAATAACACTTTATGTTGCAACCACAATTAAAGGAGAGTTAGAAGGTACTTAGGTTTTGTGATCACTTCCTTCCATTATAAATTCACCACACCGTCAAAAACCTGAGTGCTGATGTGACTTTTTAGCATTAGAGTCCATTAGCAACCCTATTAATAGTCTACTGTGGCTTTGATGTAAAGCAAAAACGCAAACATCAGAAGAATAGCTGAGCTTTACAGAGCTGCTGTTTGAATATAATGATATGCTTTCCTCTAACAGTGAATTATGACCTGCATGCTGCGGTAGAGGAGGGATGGCCTGATCTGCATAACACGTCTTTAACCCTGATAAAATTTTCATACATATTGTAAATGTGTGAAATATTGCGGTGGCATGCTGGTTGTGAATTGTTTCACTGCATTCATTTGCACCCTAATTTTTAGCTAATTCATGTAAATTATTGAAAATATTTTGTTCCAAAGCAAAGTACATGTGGCTGTGAATGTTGTCTTTTCATTCAGTGATACACAAAACTGCAGGGGTACAAAGCATTAAATTAAATCATAAAGGTAAATATTTCAAAAACATATATTGTTAGAATATTTGCAAGGACTAAAAGTACAGTTTTTTTCTGAAAAGGTTTTTAGGACTGTGTTTATTAGTGCCTCTAAAGAGTATGCCATTTTGTTGCCCCGATACATTGAGTCAATGAGTCGATGCAATCAGCTGGTTTTCCTTAGATAGAAAACTTTGAATCAATCTGACTGGATGATCTGGTTGAACTGGAAAGTGCCTTAAGACGGCTTGTGATGTGAATTGGCGCTATAGAAATAAACTGAATTGAATTGATACTGATACCCGATACCTGGCTTTGCAGAGTTGCACTCTGAAAAACTAGTCATTTTACATACATTTCATGCTTATCTGGAGTCTTTGACTTACTTTTTATGTTATTTTTTCTCTTATTTCTTTGTTAGCTATGAGCTTTTATTTTTTTTAGTTTTTCCTTAGGATTAAGTTTACTTTAAGAATTACTTTATTTTTTTTGCTTGAAGCCTGTTATTGGTTTTGTTATTTAGATCTGCCATATAGGATCATTTTTTTCATTGTTTAAGGGTTTTGCTCTTGCTTGCTAGTTTAGTCTGTAGTCTCCCCCTTTTTTAGTTTCTTTTGTGTCTGGTATCGTTTGTTAGATCTTTCCAGCAGTGTTGCTCTACTTCTCTTAAAATTTTTGTCAAGCTGCTGCCTACCTTTGTGAAGCAGGAAAAATACTAATACCTAGTGAATCCAGTAGAACTTTTTATTGCCTACCTGGAATGGGCGACAATAGTTGAAGAAACTTTGGCCTCTCAGAATGGTATCGGTGCCCTGTTTGTTGGTACTCGCCGATACTGATACCACCATTTTACTGCTGGATCGGGGCCCCGCCCGATACTGGTATTGGTATCGGTGCAACACTACTAAAAGGGGTTGATTAGAACACATTTTGTTATATTAATGCCAGGTTTATGACTATGTGGTCCTGAACTAGTGCGGGTCATTCACAGTTACCACTGTGGACAGCCTGACCCAGCTGCAGAAAAGCAGCAAGCTGGAGCAGAAGTTCACGAGGGTTCATGCTTTTGAATTTTCTGTATCGACGACTTGATGATTGCTTCGCTCTGCATGGCGGCTAATGTAAGTGGACACATCGTCTTCAATGACTATACAAGTACAAATAAAAGGACAAAAACTAAATATCGAATTCACTATTTCATTATAAAATGTAGAAAAATTGAATGTCTATAGAATTTTATTGTTTATGTTTACTTTTATTCATAGCGACCTACGAAGTAGACACAATGTCAAAGTTATCATCATTATGGGGCGACAGTGGATATAGGAGTTTGCCCTGAAATCGAAGGATTGACGGTTCAAGCCCCGACTCCGACTTTCAGTGTCGTTGTGTCCTTGGGCAAGACACTTCACCTGCATTGTCTACTGATGGTGGTCAGAGGGCCCGGTGGCGCCAGTGTAGCTTGCCACCATCAGTGTGTGAGTGAATGGGTGAATGAATGTAGTGTAAAGCGCTTTGGTCAAGTCTCCTAACTTGAATAAAGGCGCTATATAAGTACATGCCATTTACCATTTACCATGACAATAAGTTCTCTGGGGGAAAACCCCTAGTCCGAATCAGTGGTGATGTCAAGAGATAAAGGAAAGCAGAGGGGTGAGTAGGATAGAAGATGCTCTTTGAAGAGGCGGGTCTTTATTGGTTTCCTGAAGATAGACAGGGAGGCATTACACATAGAATGAAATATGTCAGGCCTTCATTTCTTCTTATTATGATGATGGGGATTTACTGATAACAAAAATGCCAATTGAGTGAGTTAGTGAACTTGAATATTCAACAAAATCAATAAATTGATATTTCAGTCTTGCTTTTTTATTAGAAAATAAAAAAAGCTAATTTTTAAAAACTTAATACTTAATTGCGCCACGGCATGGCTGTAATCAGCCAACTGTTTTGATAGTGAGCTTCAGGTCAGTCATGTGCTTTGATGAATCTGGTGTATTTTATTTTCTCCCTGATAGTCATGTTTGCTGACCAGTCAAGCACAGAAACACCATGGCCACTGAACCAGCTTTAAGGACCATTGGCAGTGTGGGGCGGCACAGAGTCTTACTGGAAAATGAAGCCAGCATCTCCATAAAGATTGACTCAATAAAGAAGCGATCGAAAATTTCCGGCAATCAATTGACTTCAGAAAAGTCAGTGACAGCAGCCGATGAAATGGCACCACAAACAATCACTGAACTCTAGAAATGTGACACTAGAATTCCAACAATGTGAATTCTGTCCAGCAATGTTTATTCTTCCTCCAGAATCTGAGCCTTTATTGAAATCAGCCATCAACACCTGTCCGGTTCTTTGTCTCCGTAGCTCAGATAAAAAAAAAACCCTAATAGCCCATGAGTAGAAGTCACCTGTTCAAATTCTTGAAAGGCTTTTCCTGACAATCTTTAGAAAGATGAAATGATCCGTGTGGCTGGCGCACCTTTTCTTACTGCGATTTTGACTGTCCATGACTTTCGATATATGGCTTCATATATCGGTGAGGATTAGTAATCTGGAAACAACCAACTTCTTTAGCAATAATATTTTGCAGCTGTTTTCCTTGTGAACAGTGTCAATGCCTGCCCTCTTGGGTTCTGTACAGTCAGCTGTCTTAGTCAAGATTGTCAAGATTGTGTTGTAAGTTATTGTCATGGTTTTGGTTCTGTTTAAGTTTTATTTTGGAGTTTTCCTTGATTTTATTTCCATTTTGTGGTTCTCATTATTTGTGATTGCATTTGAGTTCTTTGGTATATTTTGTTTGCCTTCTTGAATCAGTGTCCTTTCCCCTAGCTCCCTTCTAGATTCCTCTCTGCACCCCTGCTCCCGATCTGCTGATTAGCCTGGTCTTTGTTTCTCTCTCCCATATATACACCTCCTGCTCAGTCACTGTTGCTGTTTCCTCATCATTTTTTACCCCTTCATCTAAGTTTTTTCTGGATTTAAGTATTTTTGGATCTTGTGGATTTTGTTTTTTTGGTTTCTGTTTCACTTACCATCTTTTTAATTAAACTAGCAAGAAAACACCTCAGCTTCAGTCTCTGCATTTTGGTCCTCTTCAAACCTCCACCCAACCTGGCAGTTATTAGGACTGAGAGACGGCTTCAAGTCTCAAGGAACCTTTGCAGGTTATTTGAGTTAATCATCTAAGGGTTTTTTTTCTTCTCTAAGACACTGAAGTTTGGTTTTCATTTGTTTGCACACCATAATCATTAAGATTACATGAACTTGTCAATGTCACAATCATCCAACCCACCCTGGCCTTCATATGAAGCATTGGTCAGGTCCTCTGATTGCTGGAGAAATCCAAACTGAATAAATCATTTTAGAGGAGTAAACCTCTAGTTTGACCAAATGTTTCATTTTTATCTTTTTGTTTCATATCCCTTTTTTGCCACCAACCTCTTAAAGATTTGTAAAATGTGTATTTATCTATATAGTAATTTAACTAAGAATGATATGTCCCACCTCATACTGTAATGTGTCGAATGGCTGAGGGGGTCTGAGTTACACTTCTAGCCAACAGTGTAACATCTAGCAACAGATTTAAGGCTGCCATATGAATCTAGACTTCCTCAAAGTCATCCAACACTAAAGTCAGCACAGGTGGATATTTTAACATTAGTTATAACATCTCTCAAAAAAAAAGCCATCTGGGTATTGATCAGAGCAGCATTTAAAAGCTGCTCAGGAATGAGCATCATTGCTTCCTGTCTTTCTGTGTCCTTCCATCTGAAAATGACTTTAGATTAAACTCAGTCTGACCTGCAAACAACCTTTAAGTTAGTTCCACTCCAAAATAATGGAATAGCGTGACTGAAGTGAGTAAATCTGCAGGCGTCGACACACCCTTAAAATGTCCCTCCTATCAGACAGAACGACATTTGCAATAGCTTCTCTGCAGTCACTGTGCAAATCTCAGATTACAAGCAGAAAATTACGGCACTAATTGGATGTTATGCTAATAGAAAAAGTATCAGGCAGGTAAAAAAAAAAATATTCAGTTGAAAATCTTTTTGGCAAAGAAGTATAATGAAAAACATGCTGATATTCATTTCTGAGATGCAATATTCTGCAGAGAAATAGTATATTTTTATCCTAATGACCTAATTGGGCGCATTTATCCTTAAGAGTGCATACTTTGTTTTTGCTTCCGTCTCTTTGATTGAGTAGCTGGAAGCTTTATGTTGAGACAACAGAAGGATGATGAGCACATTGTGAGTATTGATGGCCTCTTTTCTGT